GCAGGAAAGCTTTCTTGTGGACAGTTATGTGGAGCCCCGCGAAGGGATTGTAAACACACCTGCATTGCTCCCTGCCACCCATCATCAACATGTCCAGAGCAAAGGTGTGACTTTGCTACCACAATCTCATGTTCCTGTGGGAGGATAACAGCAACTGTGCCTTGTGGTGCTGGAGCTAGCTCTAGCAGCTTCAGCAATGATGCTTTGTTTGAAGCCTCTATTATACAGAAGCTGCCGGTTCCACTCCAGACCATAGATGGTAATGGAAGGAAGGTACCCATTGGACAGAGGAAGTTGGTGTGTGATGCGGAGTGTGATAAGGCAGCAAGGAAGAGACAACTGGCAGATGCGTTTGATGTGACCCAACCAAACCTTGACTCTCTTCATTTTGGAGAGAGTTCAGGAACGTTAGATTTGCTTTCTGACCTTATGAGGAGGGAGCCTAAGTGGGTTATGGCCGTTGAGGACAGATTCAAGTTCATGGTTCTGGGGAAATCCAAGCCTGGCAATGGGAGCAACATGAAGGTTCATGTCTTCTGTCACATGGTTAAGGAGAAGAGAGATGCAGTGCGGTACATGGCTGAACGATGGAAGCTCTCAGTCCACGCTGCTGGCTGGGAGCCCAAGCGTTTCATTGTAGTTCATGTCACGCCTAAATCGAAGCCACCTGCACGGATTCTTGGTTTGAAGCCTGGTGTTCCAGTGATTGCCCCGGTCTACGATCCCTTAATTGATATGGATCCCAGGCTTGTGGTTGCTCTTCTGGACCTACCCAGGGATGCTGATATAAGTGCTCTGGTTCTGAGATTTGGAGGAGAGTGTGAGTTAGTCTGGTTGAATGATAAGAATGCCTTGTCTGTTTTCAGTGATCCTGTGAGGGCAGCAACGGCATTGAGACGCCTAGACCATGTATCTGCTTATCATGGGGCAGTCACTATGCAGCAGTGTGGTGGGGTTTCTGCCGCTGTGGTAACTGCTGGGAATGCTTGGGGAGGAGCTGCACAGGGCAATGCATGGAAGATGGCTGTACCTTCAGTAGCAGATTCATGGGGACCTGATCTGGCTTTTGGGACAGATGTAGCCATTCCTGTCTGGAAAAGGAATGAGGGGAATCCTATCTCCACTTCTGCTAACCGGTGGAATATGCTTGATTCTGATGATGTAGTGCTGGAGTCTGCAAGTGATGGAGCGGGGAATAGCAAGCTCATGGAAGGTGGTTGCTCCACTGTTGAATCTTCAGTTAATAGGGCGATTGTGGATGTGGGTGTCGGCCATGAAGTTGATGACTGGGAGGAAGTTTGTGAGTGAGATTGGATGAAACAACTTGAGAAACTTGAATGGCTGCCTTCATTTTCCTTTTATTGAGCACATTTTGCTTGAGATTTTTGTTTGTGCCTGAGAATTTTAGTAGATATGCTGGTTACATTTTGCATCAAAAGAAGGTTGAAGAAGAGTGGGTAAAGGATACTGAACTTTTTTTTATTTTTTTTTATTTTTTTATTTTTAGTATGATGTCAAATTCCAGCATTGAAGGATGCAAGGAGATTTGCAGCTTATTCACTTCTATGTTGGGGAGCATACAATCATTAAGAAATTAGAAGGCTTTAGATAAAATCAACAATCTTTTTGTCGATGTTTGGATTACTTTCGGTCTATTCTTTGAAGCAACAATTAGTGATGAGTTCACATTATTTTGTTGTATAAAATGTTTTCCAAGGTGCGATGCTGAAGTAAAGTTGCAGCTGTTTTCTTTTCAAATATCATTTGGTGTGTATTATCTCCGAGCTTTCTCCAGCGGCATTTTCTTGTTAATTTTGGGAATTTGGCTCGTGTATTCTTTAGTTGATGATTACTTTTTTCTTGAGAAATTCTGGTAAGGTGAACTGATGAAGTCGGAGTATCATGTTTTGCTCTATTTTTAATCACATTTTATAGTATCATTTGTTAGTATGTATTTTAATGTTGTTATTCTTAATTTCAGATAGAAGCAAAAGCAATAGCTGAGGTAAGTTTAAGCTGAAGGTATCTTAATTAGTTTTCTCATCAAATATTGGATTTTTTCACTCTCTTGGCTTAATCATATCCTCGATGCTACAACTGCCATTAACATGACAGCTAAAATCACCATTTCCAACTGCTTCACAAGTTTCAGGTGCTTCTCTCTCTCTCTCTATCTCTCTCTCTCAAAATCATTTGTAATCTTTGAATTTTATTTGATTCTAGGAGCAATTTATCATATCTACGGAAGTCAGTATATCTTTCAACGCCAGAACTCATATACTAGTCTCTGACATGCTTCTTTCTCTCTCAAACGCATAACTCATATATATTTACATATCTAACACTTTGATATTCCTCTACAATTTCATAGTGATAGACATGAATCTAAAAGCACATTTTGATCGAAAGCTTCCAAAATTAAATTTTGAAATGCATGCACTCTAACTTATAATCAACTGATGGGTCTCATGGAGAAGAATCACATGACAGCAAAAACGATTAGACCCGAGTCCAAGTGGGCCCAGATCATGCACTTAAAATATAGTTGAAAGCTTTGAAATATATTTTACAGGACCAAATGATTTCCAAATTTCACAAATTTATATTCAAATCGAGCTTCTCGACGAGGTGAATCCAACGAGCCCAAGAGCACTTAATTCTAATGTCATTAATACACTTAAATATTCATAAATTATCATTCAATCAAAGGGATCACTCTGGGTTGTTAGATAGAGTTGTTTGGATTCATGCAATATTTACAGAACATTATCTATCAATAAACCTCACTCTCTCCATGTAAGGAGACATGAACCAGGAGGATAAAGCTGAAAGCTCTCAAGCTCTTCAAAGTTTTCAAGCTTCACCATCGCCAAACTATCAACGTCATGCCACATTCACCACTGCAATATTACCGCCATTTGGTCGTCGCAACCACTGTCGGACCACCATCTTTTGGTTGTCACCATCGTCGCCGAACCACCATCGTTTGGCCACTTCCATCATCAGACCATTACTGCCAACCACCTCTTTCGGATCACCGCTACCAGGCCATCCTCTAACTCTGATTGCCTGGCCAACATAGTCTAGCCATCGTCATCGTCGAACAACCCGTTCAGCCATCGATGTCGAGTCACCGCCACACGTTGCTTGACACAAGCGTTTGGTCGTTGCCATCGTCAGAGCACCATCATGTAGTCATTGCCACCATCATCAAACCAACCTTAGTCGAGAGTCATTGTCAAGTCGTCAGGCCACCGTGTTTAGTTGTCGCGACTATTAAACCACTTTGTCGGGCTTCCACCATCGTTACTACCAGACCACCACCATTCCTCTGCTATCTGACCATCACTCTCACTGAAGTTGGACCACCACTGCCATCGACGACACTTGCATCATATTTTCTATCACTCGATCTCTATCATCACTTTTCTTTCATAAAAGTTAGGTTGTTATTACTTCCCAATATTTCTCCCCAAGATTTGCACTACTTCTCTAGCAAAAGTCGCATTGATAACCCCCAGTCTTGTAATATTCATTCTAGCTAGTCAATGATCCATAAGGTCTAATAACCTTTATCTAAATAGCAAAACTATTTTGTTGAAATTCAGAATAATGCGGAATACTGAATTGTTTCATTTATATGAACGGGGGTATAAATAACTCTTACAAGAATCTTATAATAGGAAAAATAATAAAAAGAAAATGATATGAAAGGAAAAATATATCACCTAATATCTTCAATAATCGATTCATATTAATCATTAAGAGATATAGGGAATAACATAAAATATGAAAACAAATAATTAATAATTCAAGGAAATAAATATAAAATAGGAAATGAAATATCTCCTTAATTTAAGAAAATAATTTATTCCTCGTCACTTGTTACAATATCTCCTTAATTTAAGAAAATAATTTATTCCTCATCACTTGTTACAGGAATAAATTATTTCCTATTATAATTCTTAACACTTCCCCTTAAATTGAATCTGGGTGAAAACCACGTTCAACTTGAATTTGAAAACATCAAACAATGGGCGAGGAAGAACCTCTCAAGTAGAATTTGAAAACATCAAACAATGGGAAATGAAGTCATGAAGGTTCATGTCTTCTGTCACATGGTTAAGGAGAAGAGAGATGCAGTGCGGTACATGGCTGAACGATGGAAGCTCTCAGTCCACGCTGCTGGCTGGGAGCCCAAGCGTTTCATTGTAGTTCATTGTCACGCCTAAATCGAAGCCACCTGCATGTATTATTGGCTTGAAGCCTGGTGTTCCAGTGATTGACCCGGTCTACGATCCCTTAATTGATATGACCTACCCAGGGATGCTGATATAAGAGCTCTGGTTCTGAGATTTGGAGGAGAGTGTGGGTTAGTCTGGTTGAATGATAAGAATGCCTTCTCTGTTTTCAGTGATCCTGTGAGGGCGGCAACTGCATTGAGACGCCTAGACCATGTATCTGCTTATCATGGGGCAGTCACTATGCAGCAGTGTGGTGGGGTTTCTGCCGCTGTGGTAACTGCTGGGAATGCTTGGGGAGGAGCTGCACAGGGCAATGCATGGAAGATGGCTGTACCTTCAGTAGCAGATTCATGGGGACCTGATCTGGCTAATTGGACAGATGTAGCCATGCCTGTCTGGGAAAGGAATGAGGGGAATCCTATCTCCACTTCTGCTAACCGGTGGAATATGCTTGATTCTGATGATGTAGTGCTGGAGTCTGCAAGTGATGGAGCGGGGAATAGCAAGCTCATGGAAGGTGGTTGCTCCACTGTTGAATCTTCAGTTAATAGGGCGATTGTGGATGTGGGTGTCGGCCATGAAGTTGATGACTGGGAGGAAGTTTGTGAGTGAGATTGGATGAAACAACTTGAGAAACTTGAATGGCTGCCTTCATTTTCCTTTTATTGAGCACATTGTGCTTGGGATTTTTGTTTGTGCCTGAGAATTTAATAGATATGCTGGTTACATTTTACATCAAAAGGAGATTGAAGGAGAGTGGGTAAAGGATACCGAACTTTTCTGTTTTTTTTTTACTATGATGTCTAATTCCGGCATTGAAGGATGCAATGAGATTTGCAGCTTATGCACTTCTATGTTGGGGAGCATACAATCATTAAGAAGTTAGAAGGCTTTAGATAAAAGCAACAATCTTTTTGTCGATGTTTTGATTACTTTCGGTCTATTCTTTGAAGCGACAATTAGTGATGAGTTGGCATTATTTTGTTGTATAAAATGTTTTCTGAGGTGAGATGCTGAAGTTGCAGTTTTTTTCTTTTCAAATATCATTTGGTGTGTACTATCTCTGTGATCTCTCCAGCGGCAGTCTTGTTAATTTTGGGAATTTGGCTTGTGTATTCTATAGTTGATGGTTACTTTTTCTTGAGAAATTATGGTAAGTGCTCTATTTTTAATCACATTAATAGTTTCATTTGTTAATGTGTGTTTTAATGTTGTTATTCTTAATTTCAGATTGAAGCAAAGGCAATAGCTGAGGTAAGTTTAAGCTGAAGGTATCTTAATTAGTTTTCTCATCAAATATTGGATTTATTCACTTTCTCCATGCTACAACGGCCTTTAACATGACAGCTAAAATCACCATTTCCAACTGCTTCACAAGTATCAGGTTCCTGTCTCTCTCTCTCTCTTTCTCAAAATCATTTGTAATCTTTGAATTTTATTTGATTCCAGGAGCAATTTATCATATATATGGAAGTCAACATATATTGTGCTCTCTTTTTTTTCTGTCATATTATATATATGAATGTGATGTAACTAGAAAAAAATTCAACGCCAGAACTCTAAGGTACTCGCCTCTGACATGCTTCTTTCTCTCTCCACAACGAGCACTTCAAATCTACATGTCTTTGTATTGTATGTTATGTAGAAGAGGATGTGAACAAATTTGGGGGGACAATATCAGAACTTCTAAATTTTTGTTTCACTTTCTCTACTAATAGCATTTGCAATCTTTGAATTTCATTTTCTTTTTCCCCTCAGTACAGTGCTGCTCACGTTTTTTTCATTGAAAACATGAGGAAATGCCTTCTCATTAAGAAAATAACATGAGGAAATGCCTTCTAATTACAAATTTTATAAGAAAACAACGATTACAGCAACACTGACAATACATAGATAAAACAGAATTTTTTAAAAAACAGTCCAATGATTTGTCTAGAAATTTTAATTCTGGTATTTTTTTTCCCTTAATTTGTTGCGCCATTTTTTCATGACTAGTAATTCATACAAAAGTAAGCCTGAGATAACATGTTGAATCCGATTGATTTATCATCCCTGGAAGAATTAAAAACACATTTGTTGTTCCTTTCTCACCAAATGTTCCGAAGTGCGGTAGAAAGATATCATATTTGTATTTATCAGTAAGTCTTTGTTATAATGATCTCTTTCTGACTAGAATGAAAAGTCAAGATGTGAGATTGCATTACAGCCTCCAAAAACAGAAAGAATTGCATCCTGCACCAGGTGTGGAAATCTTGACACCCAAATGTAAAAGAGAAGTTTTGCTTGGGGTCTTTTGCAAAAGAGCGATTGATCAAACATAGTTATTTTTATAGGAACTAAAGCATCCCAGATCCATTTATAAAATGGATGAATGCTTCCGGGCATAGGGGAAATAGAAAGAGTTAGTCACAAATGAAGTCCACTGAAAGAGGGCATCATTTCATTTGAAGTTTATTTGGATTAGCTATTAAGATTAGTAATATAGTTATATGCTAAAGAGAGAGAGTGTGGCATTCCATTAAAGGTAACAAACAATAGAAGAGAGTTGAGATTTCACCAAACAATTAGTGTTTGAAAAGATGAGAATAAAGCTTGGCTAAAAATAAATTATGAATTCATACATTTTTCATAAAAAAAATGATGACCTCATCATTATCAATGTTCCAAGAGATCAAATGGACATAAAAGAAGATATTTTTCTAGCTTTTTTTTTAGAATCACGAGTACTTTTGTCTAACCAAATGTGTATTGGTGAAGTGTTACTAACTTGTGTGTTTATGAATTTATGGGCAATGCATTGAGTTCCTATGAAAAGAATTTCGAATCCATTCAAAGAAGAAAAATATTCTCGAAGTTCTTGTAGCTTGTAGATTTCTTTTCCAATTCGAGAAAAAAATAGAAGGGCATGATCAACAAAGCGAATGCTATTAATGACAACATTTATATTGCTACATTTTCTATCTTGATCCATCCTTATTTATACGATAGATGATCTTCTTGCTCTTAATCTTTTAGAATCTTTAAACGGTGTTCCGAGTTCCTCGGACATAGCATGCACTAAAGATATGATTCCCTAACCTAGTGGATGAATTGAAGAGGGAAGATTCTTTCATTGAGAGTATCAAATATGAAACCCAATTATATGTACGAAGCAATAAAAACAATGCAAACAAGCATTTCTCTTCAATCAAAAGTTCTTTAGGATTTGTCAATCAAAAACTGAATTAGGTTTAAGCCTGCTAGCCATTGTTTTAGTCAAGATGTTGAAAATCCCATTTAAGTAGGGACTAATATATCTAAAAATTGTAAAAATTGATAGAAAATCATTTAAGCCAGGAGATTTGTTAGCTCTCAAAATTAATGTAGTAACTTTAATCCCCTCAGGCAGTGATAGGATTGAAGAAACTTTTGTTATGTATTTACATGTATAACATTTATATCTTTATATTTCCTTGCATAACATACAAGCCTCTACGTCCAAATTATCATATAAAAGCATCTGTTTTGATGTAATTTAGATACCAATGATATATAAATAAGATAAATATTTTTATAATAGTTATATAAATACATAAAAACATTATTGAAAGATCATTTCACCAGGAGTGCAAGTCTTAAATTACAGAGCAATACCGCCATAACTGTATTTTTAAGAGTGTAAATTACTTTCATGCATAAGTTTATGACATCAAGGTGTTATTCTAAGTACAAATATCAAACCGTATGCATTATTATAATTCACCAAAACAAAGACAATATTAACCTATTTTAAGATTTACTGTAATGTTTCTTCAATCAAGGGAAGTTCATAAAAAGGTAAATCTAAAATAAGTGATCGTGGTGTAGGAGAGTAAATGAGCCGAGCCGACTGCTGGGCTAGATTAGGCTCGGCATGACAAATGGCTTGTGGATAAGCTCGATGAGCTTATAAATCAAGTTGAAGCTTACTCTTCACTCGTTAGCTTGCAAGCTCATTTAATAATAATAAAAAAAAAGTAATATAAATAATATTCAAATTATGCTTAAAATATACTCAAAACATTAATGAAGGCAATGGTAACCTATTCTAACATCAATGATTATATATATATAGAATGGAATATCATAAAATATAAATCTAAAATTAGTGATGCTTTGGTGTGGTGGTGTGGTGTACATGCAAGCCTATTTGTGAGTTGGCTTGGACTTGACAAATGACTAATGAGCTGATATGACCTGACAAGCCAAAATAGCTCAAGCCAATTCAGACTCGAATGGTTAGCTAGACAGCCAATTCATTTAAAAGAAAAAAAAATATTTAAAATATATTTAAATTTAAGATTTATTTTTAAATTACTAAAAAAAATTAGAATGATATTTTATATTTTATAACAAATACTTTTTTATTATTTATCCCTCTATTGGTCACTCATCATTTTATTATAACAACGATTTAAATTAATATTACTCAATCAAATATAAGCTCAAGTCGAGCATGATTAGAGTTCGACTCAATTCGTTTACGCCTTCGTTTGGTGTCCGTTTGCCATCTTTACCGGTGTTGAGCTCTACTCTTTCCATCGAGTCGACTGAAGGTGTAATAATTTGTAGAAATATAATTATAGTAAGAGTATTTACATACATACCACATTTCTACCCAAAACTTTCATATTTAAATGCACAACACTCAAATCTTCAACATAACATCAAAAAAATATCACGAGTACTCAATTTTAAAAGTGAAATGCATCTTTTCATTCATAATTTTGATATCAAATTGGTAAACATATAGATCTAAAAGTTGTTTGACATAAAATACAAAGTGTGGTATATATTATTAACTTTATTTTTTAACTTAGTTTAAACCTAAATCATTAAAAGCATGTCATAAATATCATTATTATTAACTTAATTTTTCTAAGTAAAATGCGCTTTGCCCATATTTATGCCACCAAAATGCTATAAATATAAATATTATACATGAATACATTCATATGGTATGTAAATAAATATTTCATAAGAATAATATGAGAGGGGAAGAGTCTTTGCTTTTTTATTTTGGGACATTCATATGGTATGTATACCATCCAATTCCTTTGCATTTACATGTCGTACATCCCAACTTCACCTTCTACATTCATCCCACAAATCTTTCATATCAAATCAAAAAAAAAAAACATTATCTAAAATTAAACAAAATAAATATATATTTTCATACATAGATAAAGTAGCATACATGCAAAACATAAAACTTAGGTGTTATATATATATATATATATATCATCAAAGCTACTTAACAGAGACTTGTTCTTATAATCTGAGACACATCTGATTAGATCATATATTATGTTGGGTTATTTGACACATTGCCTATAGAAAATTTCAATCTGCTTCATTAGCCCCCCAATATATGTAAATATATATGGAATGATAATCAGCAAATCAGGCAATTTTCACATTAAACAATGTTGAAAAATGCCAAATTTAAACTGAATGCAAAATTGAAATTTGGAGGATCACCTGAATAATGTTTACAGATAACAACCAAAAGAACTCAGGAAGCTGCACCGGGATCATTGATGACACCTAAGAAATCATCTTTGATTGTGCCAATACAGAACTGAAATAAAAGAAACACAATAAAAAAAATTGAAGGTTAATATGGGATATTCACAGTACTTGTTCAAAACTGATAAGTAACTTGCAAATGTGGGGCATGAAATTTAAAATGAAAAAAAAAAGAGACTGCTTTAGTACAATAGAGAAAGGTAGATAATGCAAGTTATGGAGAACCACAGTGATATCCTGACAAATGTGGAATGTTCAAAATGCTCATAGCAAAATTGCTCTAACAGAAAGCTGTGCGAAAACCCATTGTCCTTCTTGGGGATTGGAATTTAACTTAGGGCGAGAAAGCTGTGCGAAAACCCATTGTCCTTCTTGGGGCTTGGAATTTAACTTAGGGCGTGTTTGGCACGGCCAAAAAGGGGTGGGGAAATACCAAAACTGGTGTTAGGAATTTGCAGCAATGCATTAAACGCGGGCAATGGGTTCGACCATGTAGCCCACGTTTATTCTGCACCCCTCTCCTCTCAGTAGCTCCGACGTCAGGTTCCTTTTGGGTTGCGGTGGTTGTTGTGGCGAGCTCGTCTTTCTTCTCCCTCTCCCCTCTGTGGCTCCGGCGTTTGGTTCCTTTTTGGTTGCAGTGGTTGTTGCGGCGAAATTGTCTTTCTTCTCCCTCTCCCCTTGTGACTTCGGTGACTAGGGTTGGTTCCAAACTGCTTTCCGCTGGTTGTTGCGGTGAGCTTGCCTTTCTTCTCCTCTCTCTCTCTCCCCTTTGTTCTTCGTCTCTGTTTGGATCCTTCTCTCCGTCGCCCCAAGGTATTCTTTACATATTCGGGCATTTTGATTTTGCGATTCTTTGTGCTCAATGATGGCTTGGTTTCTCTGTGCTCTATTTTTGGTTGATTGATTTTTTTGGATAACATGAATTTGTTGGCATATATAAATTATGGTGTTGTTTGTGATACCCAAATATGGAGATTTGTTCTCTATTTGATGATGTCGGAATATGGTGCTCTGGTTGGTGATGGTAGTGATTTTTGGGATTATGTTGTTGGTGGTGTTTAGTTTGTCATGTTGTTCGTGTGTTATGATTTTGGTGGTGTTTGGTTTGGTGTGAAATGGTTGCTTTGATCATGTGGTGTAGGTGATATGGAGGTGGTGGTGTGGTGTGGAGTGGTGCGCTATTGATGTTGGTGATAGGTGGTGTGGAGGTGGTAGTGAGGTGTTGGCAATAGTATTTTGGTGATATGGTTGTGGTGTGCTATTGATGTTGATGGTAGTTGGTGTGGAGGTGGTGTTGTAGTATGCTATTGATGGTCGTAGGTGGTGTGGTGTTAGTGACATGGTGGTGGTAACTGGTAGGTGGTGTGGAGGTGGCGTTGTGAGGTTTGGATGTGGTGTTGTGGTGTGGAGGTGGTGGTGTTTTGGTGATATGGTCGTGGTGCGCTATTGATATTGGTGGTAGGTGGTGTGGAGGTGGTGGTGTGTCGTGCTATTGATGTTGGTGGTAAAAGGTGTGGGATTGGTGGTGTGAGTGCTGATGATAAGGCGGTGTGATGTGCCGATAGATAGGATGGTGGTGATTGTGATACAATGGTGGTGTTGCAAATGTTTTTGTTTCTTTTTTTTATCTCCAATGAATTTATATTATTCAGTTCTTTGCATGCTAGTTATCGTAATGGGCAAGGCAAAAGAAACCAGTTCGTCTGCTACCTCGGATAAAGAGATGTCATTAATATTCTATCACATCTTTGTCAAAGAGGTCGAATTAGGAAATAGGTCAACCACCTATTTTAACAAGGTTGGCAGAACATAATAATAAAGTTGAAGGAAAGCACAAGAAGAAATTATGATAGAATGCAATTTAAAAACAAATGAGATCAGTTAAAAGAGATTAAAAACTATGAAAAGAACTAAAGTGATGATCCACAGACTTGGGTTGAGTTCCTATAAAGCGAACTATCGATGCTTCTGAAGAATGATAGACCAACAAATTGGATGTGAAAATGCTTGAAATGTAAAATCATTTTAAAGTTTCAACGTTTTCATTGATCAATCTAAAGTTTTATTAATTGATTTGTAGGCGGGGCTAGCTGCGAAAAAATTCAAGTTCGGTGGTATTGACCATGACATGGAAGATAAGTTGGATCATATGTTCGATGGAGTGGTGGTCATTTGTGATCAAGCACAGGCACCACGCGAGAGAGGGCACAGAGCCCAATTTGGGAATTTAGAAGCGGAGCAATCAACTGAGTCCAATGAGGGGTTCCAACCCAAACCTGCATGAAATTGGATCTACTGGTTGATCCAAACGTCCCAAGATTAAGAAAAAAAAAGATGGTGCTACTTTTCTTAGAAGTCAGATCTCCCAATAGGTGGCTTCATGCACCAGTGAGCCTAGTGGGTCACATGTGACTTCTATTCAACCAGTTCTGATAATTCTGGAAGATACTCCAAAAATTGATTACAAACACAGAATGTGAAAATATTGCATACATCAGACGATGTGGATCACCAACACAGAATATGACTTCTTTAGGTGGGCAGGTGGATTGAAGGATTCCACCATCGATAGTGATCGATCATGAGAGTTTCCTTGTAGGCCGGTTTATCTTGTGACATACACAAAATGAATTTTAAAAATAATACTCGTTTTATTAATTGTTATTTTAATAGTCTTTTTTTTTTAATTTTAGTTGTAATGTTACTATTGAGTGAGATGTCAATTTTTATTTTGTAATGTTTGAACTGAATATTTGTTTTTAGGCATGGATTGTGCAAGCATAATTAGTTCTGTTAAAAACAACATCATAGTACAAAAGCAGAAAGATCATTTGTTCAGAACAACTACAATATAGCAGTTTCAAAGCTATAAAAAACAAACAAACAACCAACATATCTGCAACAGCTTCGGATGTGAAAATGCTTGAAATGTAAAATCATTTTAAGGTTTCAACGTTTTCATAGTGGTGGCCATCTGTGATCAAGCACGGGCACCACGCGAGAGAGGGCACAAAGCCCAATTTGAGAATTTAGAAGCGGAGCAATCAACTGAGTCCAATGAGGGGTTCCAACCCAAACCTGCATGAAATTGGATCTACTGGTTGATCCAAACGTCCCAAGATTAAGAAAAAAAAAGATGGTGCTACTTTTCTTAGAAGTCAGATCTCCCAATAGGTGGCTTCATGCACCAGTGAGCCTAGTGGGTCACATGTGACTTCTATTCAACCAGTTCTGATAATTCTGGAAGATACTCCAAAAATTGATTACAAACACAGAATGTGAAAATATTGCATACATCAGACGATGTGGATCACCAACACAGAATATGACTTCTTTAGGTGGGCAGGTGGATTGAAGGATTCCACCATCGATAGTGATCGATCATGAGAGTTTCCTTGTAGGCCGGTTTATCTTGTGACATACACAAAATGAATTTTAAAAATAATACTCATTTTATTAATTGTTATTTTAATAGTCTTTTTTTTAAATTTTAGTTGTAATGTTACTATTCAGTGAGATGTCAATTTTTATTTGTAATGTTTGAACTGAATATTTGTTTTTAGGCATGGACTGTGCTAGCATAATTAGTCCTGTTAAAAACAACATTATATTACAAAAGCAGAAAGATCATTTGTTCAGAACAACTGCAATATAGCAGTTTCAAAGCTATAAAAAAAAAACAAACAACCAACATATCTGCAACAGCTTTTGCGCTTTTAAATAAACTGCAGCTGCCCCAAACAGACCCTTAAATTGAGAATCACTCAAAAAATACATAGCTTTGATTGAGCTCAGATCAAAGTCAATAAGCTTACTAATGAGTCAAATTGGACTTAGATCAAATTTGGATCGATTATAGCTTGATAAGATTAAACAAAATCAAATATAAATGTTATGCATACAGTTATGTATTTAGACTAGGTTCCCTTATTTTTCAAAAGCCAATTTAAATAGCCAACCACCTTACCCTTCAAGTGGGCGCGCGCGCGCGACTGATAACACAATAAAATCTAGCCACATTAGCTTGTACACAGTTCGAATGGTCAACAAAAAGAACTTAATATATAAAAAGATGCAGATTAGGTAAAAATTGTCATTTGGGGGGGGGGGGGAGTCATTTAAAGTCAGCAAAATCTTTCATCTCCCGCAAACTCAACAAATATATATTTGCATTACATGGTAAGAAGTATCATTAAAGAGGTTCAAGATAGAAAACATTAAGAGCTAATTTGGTCATCTATCAATAGAAAATTGTTAGAGTTTTAAGTTTGACTTGTTATTTTGTGCGAAAATCAAATCAAATTTTGTCAAGCTTAAAATGACTGAATAAATCAAATCCTTATAGTTATTCCAAATAAAAAGGGCAATTGCCAAAATTTCTACAAAGGAAGAGGGACTTACAATTTCTGTGGCATCAACTCGAGTACCAATAATCTTCAACCGCACCTCACTATCTTTTTGGATTTTGACCTATGAATAGTAACCAAGAAAAACGTCAGAATTCCAGGTACCAAGTGGCACATGAAAATCTTATTTATTGACTCACAGATCTAAAAAATTTTATTAAAAAAAAAGTAACTTTAAAAAAAAATAAACTCCAAGAATTTTCATCTAACGTGAGAGATTGCATACAGAAAAAACTAAAAGTAAGTTCCTCACCGGCAAGTCAACGACCATAAGGTTTCAAGCTATTTGAAATTAAAAGACGAGTTACAATTAAGCCATATCTTAACATAAATGTGAATCAATATAAGATCCGCATGATGTTCCATACCGGTGTAGGGTTCAAGATAGAGATTCATTTTTACAAAAAAAAATGTGGAATAAAAGAAAATATAGCAGCAAGTAATCCTACATTTAAAAGATGAACAAAACAGCGGCCGCAAAAACAAATCATACAAAAAAGAACAAATCTTTTTATTGTTTTTTTCTGAGTTGAACATAATGAGGTTTGACAAAGGTTTTATAATTGGCCATCAAATTATATAACTGGATGAGGTAGTTGATGATGAACATATTGAATACTAAATTCTAAGGTACCGACAGGTTTTTTTGAGTAATATGGCATTCATTCATGTTTCTTAATTTATATAGTAAGGGTTGCTTCATTCAACAATATTGGCAGAAAATCGCTATTAAAATTGCCAAGTTAAATGATGTCAGTGCAAATTCAATTGCTGCTTGGTTTCAAGCAATTCTCAGTAACGGTTTCAATCTAAGTTTAACATTCCAGGTTTTGACAAACATCTCTTTCAGTAGATCAGGCAAGATTTGAACATTTTAACAGATTAAAGCATTCTATATCTGAAATTGCAGAGCTCATATCCACCGTTTTGCACATTTTAGCAGCTGAAAGCATTTTTATCTAAAACTGTGGAACTTAATATCATCCTTCGTAAACTTCTAAGTAGTTGAAAGCTCTGAAACTCTCAAGCTTCCTATCCTCTCAGTAAACCAACGGAAAAGAAGGGTAATCTGGTCCGAGAGGGAAACAGACACATTTCCGATGCATGAAAACAATTATTCCTGATTAATATGGAGATATGGAGAGAAGAAGTAGTCCCCAGTGGAATCGCCATAATTTGTCGGTCGTCATACGGCTAGGTGCGGTTTAACCTAAAAAGGTTAACTAGGTATTTAGAAATATATATATATATATGAGATATATATATATATATATGTATATATATATATGTATATATATGGCGACCGACAAATTCTGGCTAGGAGAGTGTGTGTGTGTGTGTGTGTGTGTGTGTACATTCTTAGTTCAACAAATTCACCAAAATGGCCAAAAAATACTCTTAGTGATACAAAAAAAGTAAAGCTAATCACAACCAATTTGTCAAAGGATCACCTAAAAATAAATTTGTTATTGTATATGTAGATAATATCATTCTCACAAAAGACTTACTGGAAAAAATAAGCACATGCAATAGATTTCTAGCCAAGAAAAAAAAAATAAAAACTTGGGCATCCATAGTTTTAATGCTTGATCTCATATGGCTATCTCTGTCTCATAACTCAAATATTTGTTAGACATCTTAAAGAAACAAGATCTTTAGGTGTAATACTAGCATATACTCCCATGAATTTGTTTGTTATAATTGGGACAAAAGATGGAATAAATAGTGCACCGGTTTTGATAAGGGCAGACTCATTTAAGTCGCACACTAGACCAAATATTGGATTTAATGTAAGCGTGGTCATCAATTATGAACAGAATCCTACGAATTTGAAAATAACTCCAATAAAAGAAAATTGTTCATCATAGGAAACTCAAATGTAAAAAAAGAAAATTTCAATAATATTGATCAGCTAGCTCACCAGCAAATCTCAAGCTTGTCTCAAAATATGTTACATTTATGTAGGAAATTTTAGTTATGTGGCATGGTAAAAAGCAATATGTAGCTTCCCTAAACAGTGTTGAAGTTGAGTTTAGGGCAATCGTCCACAGAAAATGTTAAGGAAAGTGGTTAAAAAGATCTTCAATGAACTGATCATGGCACTAGAAAACCAAATGAAGCTGTTTTGTGATAATCAAGCAACAATAAGTACAGCAAAAAAATCTTGTATGTCATGATTGGACCAAACATGTTAAGATTGATCTAAACTTCATCAAGGAAAAAATGGGAATCATATCGTTTCTGCAAACTTAAACAATCCATCAATCAAGCATTATCAAAAAGGACAAAAACCAAACTTTAGAATTCAACTCCAATTCAACCACCAAGAACATTTAGAATTCAAAGAGATGATATGGTGAAGAATCATGCGAATTTGTAGAGTTTAGGGAGAATTCACAAAGTGCAGCAGTGAGCATAACAATCAACTGGGAGATAAATTACAAGAACATAAGAAATATGACAAAAAAAAAACAGCTGAAATATGAATTATGTACTGCAGCAAGTGCAAAAATAATCAAAATCAAAGAACAATGAAGAGCACCAAGCCTAAAACCACACAAAATACATAAAAATAGATGTAGAAACAGCAAAAAAGAAGCATGCAATCATAGCAAATAAACATTTTTTTCCAAAGTGAATAACCACAATAAAACCTAAATGACATGGCAGTGGCTAGGAAGTATTAAGGCAACAAATCATGCAAAGGTGGGCAGAAAGCTGTAAAAAATTAAGAGGAAAAAGAGCAGTAAAGCTTGGAAAAATGAATTTTGTCAGTAAGAGAAGAACTCGGGTTACCGTAGATAGCTCTTTAAAACTTTCATAGGAAAAGTATCACACATGTCAAGAAAATCTTGAAAGGCAAATAGAAAATCAACAAGGGGGGCAAAGTTAAGAGTTTAACTGAATTATTTTTTGGCAAACCATCCTTAGCATAAATAAATTCGTTCTCATTTCAAAAGAAATGAAGTTTAGGCCATAATCAAACATGCTTTGAACTTCAAGCACAATTAGCAGCCCTAGAACAAGTTTTGTTAGTGTTCATAAAACTAAAGAAGAATTATACTAATATATAAGGTATGTATATTCTCCAAAAATCAGAGGAGAGAACAGAATTATAAGATGCTAAAAAACCAATTTTAAACTAAGCCCTCCATGCTACTCCCTCTTCATAGTCATCAGCTTACCCTTACCATCCATCACCAAAGAGAACTTGATGCAACGCCTACCATTGCCTTGGTCCTGGAACTATTCGCTCCCTCCAGCCATCCCTTTATAGCACCATCTCCACCCTTCGCATTGAAGGTGTACACAACCAATGATTAAGGTAAAATAGTTAATTGCCATAAAATAAGGCATAAAGCCCATAAATTTACATTGTTTACATTTCATGAATAAAAATATGATTAAGAAATTCAAATATTGAGTAATTTTGGATTAATTCCAAAGTACAAAATTCATAGTCATGCGATTCATATTCTAACTCCAAAATCTAATTGACACAAATAAAATCAAATAAAATTAGATTTCAAAATGAAACAAAATGAGGCAATAGATGTAAGGCTTCAATGAATATGAGAAGCATGTCACAAGAAAAATGAAGAGTAACTTTAGAGTCCCTAGCAAAGCAAGCGGAGACTGGAGATAAGTGGGATGTAAAGGAGACAAAGTTGAGTGAGGCTTGGAATTTTAATGTTTGAATTGGTTTGATAAGACTTAACTTCCTATATGTAAAAGAAAAATAATCTTTTAATGCAGATTTTTATTTAGGAAGATAACAATTATGGATATAAGAAGATTAATTTAGTAATTTGACTATTTCATTTAATTTATGTTAAATTATATCTTAGATATTTCTCTCACTAAAGGGTGTAAAAAGGTCACCCCAAGCACTCGGGATGATGTCTTGGCCTGAAGGGCATAAAATAACTTTTGAAGGCTAACCCGAAGCAATTTTAACATTCAACAACCCTGACAAAAGCCCGAAAAATGTCTTCTATAATATTATGTAATACCATCATTGCATGTATTTTGGTAAGTACAATGTCACCTCTGACAATCACTTTAATTTGTTTACTACGGTGTGCCTCTCACAACCGCATCTCTAAGGGCTATTGCCACTCCCATCCACCTATTCAAAAATGAACATCATTGCAACCTCCATCTTTTTATAGTACCATTGAAGCATACCAAATATAGGATGGTCCAATTCAACGTGCCTTACCACCTAGTTGTGCTCATTCTTCAAGCAACTCAATTAGAATACCATCATAAAGATAGAGATTGAACAAGGGAATCTCCAGTATTATGTTCATAACATATAAAACTCATCACCCAAGGATCCCCTTAAATAATCTTGAATCCTCTAGAGTGCTTCAACCATAGATCATCCTGAACTAAATAGTTTAATCCAAATAGAAGTTTCTTAAAGATAGCAACAAACCAAATCACTGCTATTATCTTGTTAGAAAACACTACAAACATTGCTTCAAAAATAACTGCAAGAAAAAAAAAAGCAAATTACCTATAGTTTGAATTCAATTTAACAAGTTCAACGAAAGGAAATTATTAAAAAAAAAACATGAAAGAGGAAACAGCAATAATTCACATTCGAAGTGAGAATTCCTTTTTTCAAAATTTGTGGGAAGCATCACAAAGAAACTCTCTCTATGCCATAGCTCTCTAAAATTTAGATACAGAGAATGCTAAAAGATCTCAAAAAAAGAGAAAGTTTCAAAAGTTATTAACTAATTCAGTCATTTTGTCCATGCATTTGTCAAACACGGTTAAAATATGAAAAATCTGAGCTCACCGAGCCATCAGACGTTGTGTAGTTAGGCACATCTCCTGACTGAAACTCCATATCATCCGGGATGAGCTGAAAAAAAGAACAGAAGCAGCAAGAATAAAAAAATTAAACAGAGATTATAGTGCAAAACCATGACCAAACTCTAGCAGGAACACTCACGTGATTTGACACGAAGATCTGCACCGGCCCATCCTCGGCAAAAAAACCCATCTGCAGACCACCAGAAATGCAAATTTTAATCATTATAACGGATGCGGAAAAATCAATTTACCAACTTTAAACATAATTAAGTGCCAATATTTTGGGCAAGCGAAGTGACCTTATTAACCATAGTGACTACGGCTTCCAGGATCTCTCCCTTGAAGGGCCGAAAAACCACGCACTGGTACTTCACAGGGAAAGTGACAAAGCCCGTGCCCTCACGGATCAAACCCTTTCCAATGTCCTCAACGCTTGTTATTGCCACAACGAACCCATGCCTTCCGCTGCATCAAAGGAGGGTTTTAGATAGATTAGGGTTTTGGAGCATTAGGATCGAGCAAACGTGATGTAGTGAGTGGGAAAAACCTGCAAGTACCCTCGACGTCCTTCATGAGCTTGGCGACGAGCTTCTCGCGAAGATGAGGGCCGAAGTGTCGAGGGTGGAGCTGCATATTCCTCTCCAACGAAATGTGAAAGAACATATTTACCCAACTCAAGATTGAAAACCTGTCAGAATCGTTTTCTAAATTGATTTATGCAATGGTTTCCTGGTCGCTACGCGCCTCCTTGCAGATCAAACATGAACCCTAGGGCTGTTTGATAGCAGGGTTTGAGTAGGATTTAACTTAAATCATGCGGAATTTTAAACCCAATTTCTCTCCCGACGCTACCTCAATAAATCTCCGACTTATTAAAAGTTCGAATTTTATGAACTCCTCTTCCTCTTCATCGTCTGGGTTTTCAGAATTTGGCTTACGAAGAATATGAGAGGTATTAAAAATTGGGCTTGACTAAAATATTCGGGTTCAGATTTGTCTGAATATTTTTCAGGCCGGGTTAGGGTCAATTCGATTTATTTATTATTAGGATCAGATACAGATTAAACCCGAAAATACAAACAAGGCCCGAATAATAATGAAATTTCTAGTAAATTTCGGGTCTTAATTCTCGACCCATTTATTATTTGGGCCGGATTCTGATTGAATATTATGATTGACTATTTTCAGGTCGGATCCAAACCTGACTCGCTTACTTAAGGGTCTGTTTGGGGCAGCTGCAGCTTATTCATTAATCTGCTGATAATCTGATTAAAAATAATCTGCTGATAAGTTATGTGCGGTGGCTATTAGAAATTTTTATTTTTTTAAAAAAGTCAGACCGCTGTCAGGAAACTGTCGCTGCACTTACCTAGATAGGTGCAGTGTGAAAATGTCACTTTTAGCGTTTTCAAAACACATAAATTGTCAAAACGCAGTTTACCCAAACAGTCCAGATGCGTTTTCAAAACGTCACCGCACCAAATAAGCTGCCCCAAACGGACAATTGACACCCAATATTGCATAACTCATTACGTATTTAATATCTAAATTTCTTATTTACAATCATAACCCTCAAAATTTTAATAATACATTAAAAAAATACCACTAATATATACTTATAAGAACTTAAATACAATTTTTCAAGCATAAGTTTATCGAACTGCAGGGTTATAAATGTAAAAAATAAAAGTCGGTTTATTAGATACTCAAACATAAAATAATTGTGTGTTAATATATAAAGATTTTAGATAAAAAAAAATAACTATTATCATATATTTCTAAAAACTTTAATATTATTCTTCATGCATATTTTTATCAAACTAATGGTTATAAATGTGACTATAAAAATTGATGTATTACAAATGTAAATATAAGAATTGTGTCTTAATATATAATTTTTTTAAAAAAAGTTAGCAGTAATGAGTTTTTCAATATTGAAGTGCTATGCACATATATATGAAATTTAAAAGTCCTATATATAGATATATAAGAATAGTAGACTATAAATGTAGACAAAAGTAAATTATTAGTCCGTTTGGAGCAGCTTATAAGTGCGGACGGCGTTTTCAAAACGCTGTCGTGCCGTTTGGTTGGATTTGGGTTTTTACACTAAACGCAAGTCGCAGGTCGACCGAACTCCCCTCAAACGGACCCTTCTGAAACGCAGAAGCTGCCCCAAACGGACCCATATCATTGATTAGAAAAAGCCATACATTTTCTATTTTACCCAATCATAAATAATAAAACAAAAAAACAAAAAAAACAATGAATAAATAAAATTTTATATATAGCACATTATTATTCTCCTCAAGACACTAAACGCAAGTCGCAGGTCGACCGAACTCCCCTCAAACGGACCCTTCTGAAACGCAGAAGCTGCCCCAAACGGACCCATATCATTGATTAGAAAAAGCCATACATTTTCTATTTTACTCAATCATAAATAATAAAACAATAAAACAATAAAACCAAAAAACAATGAATAAATAAAACTTTATATATAGCACATGATTATTCTCCTCAAAAACAAAGAAATGAATAAATCTCTCAAACCACTCAACCAAAAATAAATCACCTATAAATTAATAAAATAACATGAATAATCCCCATAAAATCAACTCAAATAAGCGCAAGGCCTCAAGAACCAGAACAAATCCACCGGACTCCCCTCCACTTCAGAATCAACAGAAGCTCTGTTGTTTTCCTCTTTCTTTGGAATGAGTTCAATCTTCTCCTCCTCGCTTCCCTGATGCAGTTCTCGAAGCACGCTTCTCTCCTGCTCCTCAATAAATAAAATAAGAACATGAAATAGGATAACAAAAGTAATATTTAAGCTAAAAAAAGATAGGTGTGGATTCGATGGGGACTGGTGGTATTGAGGTTAATACCATTCCAATACAATCAATTAGCACATGTGAATGCTGGGGCCTTGAACTTACTGGATCTTTGGATTCAGAAAGTTTGCAAAGAGGAGAAGAAGAAGAGTTGCTATTTGCAGAGGTTTTTGAGCTCTTGAGGTGAGGATGAAGATGACGACCGGAAGGAGAAGGAAAACGCTGAGGAGTTGGAGGGTGAGCTCTTGCTTCTTTCAATATTCTATTTCTCTTCTCTTCGCTGCCATCCAACTTGAGTGCCAATTCACGTTTCTTGTTCAAGCTGCTAGTTTTGCTGTAATTCATAATGGAGGTTATGTGAATGGTTTGTAAGATTTATGCAAATTTGGCCACATATAGTTGTAGTAAAAAAGAGTTAGAAATTACAACATCATATTGTCAATGTTGTAATGGGTCCATTATATAAAAGTTGAATCTTGCCGTTGCAAATTTTCATTAGGGGCATTTACATACATACCCGCCCCCAGTTCCTATATATTTACATATTTAACAGGTAAACTTTACTTTCATATGATGCAAAGCTTCTCAAATTTTTTAGACATACTCACATACGCACTGCACAATTCTTATAAGTTCACACATCTAAAACCTAAATTTTGATTTTTTATATTTATAACAATCATCACTTGATTGGTTAATTTGTAAATATCAATGTTTCGGAATGTTTAATATGTAATCATCTCAATAATTTAACAATTACGAAATATATTTTGATTAAGATTTGAATACAACATACTAACATAATTTTTTTCCCATATGATTAAAGCAAGATATCAATAAACTTACATGGTGGAAATCAGAGCCTTCTTTTCCTCCACTCTCCCTTCTTCCATCATCTTCTTCGTCTTCTCCTTCTTCTCCTCTTTAAGAACACCAGCCGAATCTTTTCCAGTTGCAAGCTTCTTCAGTTCATGGCAGAACTCAGAAATTTGGCTCAATATATCCTTCCCGGGAAACAGATTCCTCGCAGATAAAATGTTCTTTAGCCGAGGCTGATGCGGCGATCTTCTACTCTGAGTTTCTCTAGTTTCCTCTTCAACAACAGCAGCCTTATTTTCTGCGCTTGATTTAATGGCTTCCTTCTTCTTCTTTGCTTTCAGCTTCACCGGAGTAGCTTCCATGTTCGGATTCTGGTTCTCGTTATCTTCTCCGACTTCTCTGGAGTTCAATCTGGGCGAAGAGCAAACAGAAACTATTCCACTTCTCTTCTTCAAATTAACATCCCTAAGAGAATTCCATAGAAATCCGTCAAGATTCAACCTCTCTTTTTTCTTTTCAAACGAAAATGTTACCTCCGATTCTTGTTCTGCTCGCCAGCTAGAATGGCGTCCGAACCGGATCTCAAGAGCTTCACCTGAAACGAAAAGAAGACGATGGGGAGGAGTAAGAGAGGATGAATCTTGAGTTAGGAAACCAGAGAGATGGATTGAGAAACAGAGTTGAACTTTGGGGCTAGGATTCCAACGGTCGAAATCCTCGTAGGAGATGGGATGGCGGCAATCGGTGCGACAGAACCATGCGACGTCATCAATGGTGGCATCGGGGGCCGAGAAATCGAGCCATTTGGGGGCGTTGATGTGCTCGTAGACCTCGTCGAGCTCGTAGTGGGAGACGATGTTCTCCCAGTCGATTTCGACGTGCTCCATTAGCAATGTTTGGAAAGATTGGGAAAAGCTAGAGAAGGAAGGAAATGGAGATTGGGTGGATAAGAAGCGTTACAGGGGATTTTGGGAATGAAGGAATGGACCTGAAGAGGGTTTTGTGAACGTTGGAGGGACATTTTTGACCGTTGCGGATTGGGTGGAGGATCCGAAGCTTCTTTAAATATTTACATTTTCCATGGAATTAAAGTAAGGAGAGGGTGGGTTCTTGGCTCTTTAGAAGAGTTTTGGTAAAATAGGGTAAATTAGATGTAAATACAAAATAAATATTTTAAAAATTATGTAAAGATTTCAGACCCAACTATGTGTAATATTTTTTTTATAAAATAATTAGAAAGATCATCAATATCTTTTCTTAAGATTATTCATTTTATTATTCATTTTCCTAGTTACACGAAATCAATGCAGTGAAACATCGACGAATTATGCAAGTAGTATATGGACTTCCAAAGTTTAGAAAATTTATAGTTTATTGATTTTGAGTTTAGCATGAAGGTTCGAAATTAGGTGATTTTAAAGTTTCTAATCCTATTTTTTTGTCAGAAGTAAATCGTACAACTAGTTTTGAGGATGAGCAAGTGATAGAAAATCTCTTTTGAATTGATTTTATGCAAATCATATTTCTCAAAGAGATTCAATTGAAATTTACAATCATAAGAAACAACTTTCCATAGCCCCTCCAGGCGGTCATAAAAAAATTGAGATTTTCATATTATAATTAGTCTCTTAATCATGCAAAAATTCTAGTATTTGCATGTTTCCCTACTTGATTGCATCATGCTAACATCAATATTCATATTCTCTTAGAGTGATGCATGAACATAATCATTCCACTAGTCTAACTCCACGGTTTAGATCATAACCTATTTTAACTTCCAAGGGAACAATTCAAGAGAAAACTACACGTATGAGGTTTGACTATCAATTTGAGAGCAACTTACACACAATCACATTACACTATCAATCTTAAGTCTAAATTATATAATCACATAACAAGAATAATTCAAATTTGCATAAAATCCATTTCATGGGAGAAATAAATATAAGTGTTGACACAAATTTCATTGCAATTTCTAAAGTAATAAAGTTAGAACGTTCTCACTAAAGTTTTTCGCCAAATTACACAAAGTTATAGCAATTACCACCCACTTTGAATACATAACACACGCTTAATATTTTTCTCTCTCAGTAGAACTTTCACAATATCTCATTCTCCTAAAATTCCACCAATGCAAAGTACTCGGTGACTATGACAGCTCTCAGGTGACTCTCCCACCTCGGTGTCACTATAGGGGTAAAGCACTTGGTCGAGAAAATGGTGGAAGAGCCAAGCCTTCATTCCTTCGAAATTAAGCCTTTTTATAGAAACAGCTTGCAACCAAGGAGTGCCATCGACAGGAACTATCGTAACTCCCAAGTCGATCTGACTTCTGCAGAAGTTTTACCCAGGCAGTGCTAGAGTGTTGCTCTCTCTGCATCGCTTGTGGCACCCCAAAGTTGGTAAATATGCACCAGATACCCAATAAGTGGTTCCTTGGTACCAATTGCTTGGTAGGGGAATGGAAGGAGCGTACATACATCATTTTCTAGCATTGTTATGCCAACAGTGTCTTATATATGCCAGAAAAGCGGTGTAGCTATGTCGACCATCATTTTAAGGTGCTCAAATGTCAATGAGCTCTTTTAAGCTTCTGAGTCATGTAAGATGCAAATAATATAAAAAGAAACTAGAAAAGGTTCAAGTTAGTGAAGTCCACGTACATCTTCCACTTGACATTTATCTTTTGCACCATGATCACGTTGGAGACCCACGTAGGCTATTATGCATCCTAGAGGCAACATTCTTCATTTAGTTTCTAGAGCATTCGAATTGTTCTAGCCAAAGTCATTGTGAGGACCTGATTTTATGTTTCATTATTTGGGCGGAAAAATTCATGTTCGATGGGTGGCAGTTGATATTGAGCGATATACCTAGTAACTCTGTTGTTAACTAAGAAAAAACATCTTGATGCTCCTGAATGGTCTTGGTTAGCAAATCTTTAGACCATGCACTAAAATTTTCACTTACTAAGAAAAAAATTATCATGCTCGCTTTCGATTATAAGGATTTAAAGGTTAGTCTCGTTGGTCTCAAGACCTCATTCGAGCCAGTGTTGCGAGTCGAGTGGCTTCTATTCCACGCTCCCTGCTCAAGATAGCAGGTCGAAGATTGCTCTAGGTTAGTGACTAAAGATCGCATTGTAGGTTGGTGATGAATCTACCACCAGGAAGGCTTTCATGTAGGAGAATTGCTTCGCAACTTCTCCCAGAGTGACTGGTTGCACAATTACTCTCAATGTCTCCTTTCTCTCACTAAAGAAGCTATAGAGTGAGTCAGTCGGTGCCACTAACCGATCAGTTTGGAGGTTCATTTTATCAAACACTGATTTAAATGGAATGTTTGCAGAGCTATCAGCATCGATCAGAATGATACTTTTATGGTAGTTTTAGATCATCGACGCCACAACTATAACATTGTTGTAAGGGTTTCCTCTTGGGGACAAATATTCATCGATGAACGTTACTGGTGGATGGGTGTTACATATTGAAGCAAAAGCAGTTGCACACAACTCTTCTGGTTGGCTAGCTAGGACAAATCTCCAGCTTTATAAAAATGGTTGTTAAAAATCTAGTGATGTGAAGGTGTTCACTCAAACAGACTCGTCCAAAATTTATTCTATCGAAGCCTTTTCCTAACTTTAGGTCGTAGCTCTGGGTGTCCCAAGCACCTTAAACTTTTCATCTGTTATCAAATCTTTGACCAGGCTTCCAAGATGGTTGCATTCATTCGTATCATGGCCATGGTCCATGTGGTAAGTGTAACACTTCTTATTGTCCTGAGAAAAACTTCGGCTCTCATTGGTGGTGCTTTTTTGAAGTATTTTTTATTTTGTATTGCCTCCACTATCTCTGCCATCAAGAACCTCATCAAAGTAGCCTTTGGCATTTCATGGTCATCTGACAGTCACTCATGGTTACAAGCCAATCATTGGTCAGATTGCTTTGTCTGGCTCGGTAGTTGTGCATGTCGGACCCCCTATTTTCTTAGGGTGATCATTATCTTCATATCTTGACCAAGCGAAAGGATGTGAGTCTTCTTTCGGCATCCACCTATTATCTCTTGGGGACCTCCTTTTTAGATAGTTAGTGGGTGATTATACCTCAAGAAGCACAGTGGTGGAAATGTATTTTTCAGTTGAAATGTGATTGTTGGCGAGCTTCAACAATTCAGGAGTCTTTGGTCGTCGGACACCCAAAGCATAGTGGAATGTTCCATTTTTAGCCCCTAAGTAAAGGCGGCATGTGCAATTGCGGGTTACAGATTCTGCACTTCTAGCATCGCATCATGTGATAAACGAGCTTAGGCTCTCATTTTTCCCCTGCCTTATCTGCAGTATTCGGGGTGTCAAAATTTGGCTGAACATGCCAACACGACTCAAAATTGACTTTAGAAATTTGGGTTGGGGTTGACCCAAATATTTTTTGAGTCAGGTTCGACTAAGAGAATTCAATCCAATTATTATTCAGGTCAGGTTCAGGTTGCCACCGAAAACCCAAACATGACCCAAATATGCATGAAATTTCGGGTAAGGTTTGGGTTAGCTTGTCAAGCTCGGGTTCAGGTCCTAGTTTTTGATCCATTTATTATTCCGGCGGGGTTTGAGTTAACCTTATTTGGGTTATGTCATTTTCAGGTCGGACTCAAACCCGACCTGCTGATCCAAATTAATCCTATGTAGCATGGCTTGTGAACTTTTCTAAAGTTTTTAGGCGTTGGCAAATTGAGCGAACAAAACATTTTATTGAAGTCCGCAAATGCTTAATAGTTTACAACACTAATGCAGGGAATCAAACAGTAGTCACTTTACCATTCTTGAAGTTGGTAAATTGACTAGGTAGGCAAAAAAAAAGTAGAAAAAAAAACCTATATTTGTTCACGCAGAACATTTAAAATTATGATTTTTCTTCTTCTTTAAATTTGTATTCTCGATTTTCATTTCCAATCATTTAGTTTGCCGTATTGATTGTAATCTTCTAATAACAGAAACTTTCTCGCAGTCTAATAAGCGACCTTGATTTATAGTTCTGATTTATATTTGAATTCAGAACTATAAGGTCGCATTCTCAATTAGAAGGACTCGTCTAATTAAACGACCATGATTTATCGATCAAGTTGTTTGGGATGAAGATTCATAGTTTTGATTTTTATTTGCAGCTGCAAAAATGGCTTATGATCCATTTAGCCATGGTTTGTTCTATTATATAGTTACAATTGTTTAAACTATGCCAACATGCATGCACTGAATGATTTTAATGAGTTTAATGTTACGAATGAGAATGGTTATAGAATTGGGGAGCTGAAACATATGAGTGAAATGCAATGTTTATGTTGAAAAATTATTTTGGTTGTCATATTTTCTGTTATTTACTTATTCGAATCACATGTTGAATGAAGTGATGATTTGGGACTTCATTCTTGAGTTTTATTATTCTTATTCCTCTCCAAATAAATGCTTAAAGTTATGTACTATCCTTCTCCGTTTGATGGGCTCGATTTTGGCCCCTAGAGGACTGGATTTCAGTTGTAAGTTCTATACTGTTTTTGCCCCTTTCCTGGGCTCAGTTTGGCCTGAGATTTGGGGCCCGGTTTTGCCTCGAAATGGTTCAGCTTTGTCCCTTATGTTGGGCCTGATTTTGTCTCGTGACGACTATTTTTTTAGTTACATATTGGGTTAGGTCTTGCTTTTGGGATGGCTCTGTGTTGAACATATTTGAGGCATGGTTTTTGTTGTTTCTTTGAGACATTCTATGATTGAAGTACATAAACAACTGAAGTTTGGTTTCTAGGACTTTTTGTTGTTGCTTTGAGTCCTGTTTTGCTCCTTACAGTTGCTGCCCCTCTTTTCGAATCGTATGCTAGAAGAATTAAGTTGGACAGCAGGGGCCCTTTTTCTCACCATCTAAGCATAAACTGGTTTAACATCACCTCTATTTCTACAATACAGATAACAGTGAAGGCTTAGGTACTTACGGAATCTGATATTTGATCATTATTACAAGTCATTGATCTCAACATGGCTTTCAGAGTATCTCTTGAAA